ATGTATCACTGTATTTTAGACAACATTTGTTAATCTTTTATCTTCAGCTTTGTTAAAAAGGTTTAATAGGCTACCAAGGAGATTTCGTCTCTGAACATCATTCAAGCGACAGGACAGCAAAAAGCGTTCCCTTCCTTCAATGCCAACTTTAATGGGACACATCAGTTCCTCTGTCAGATTCTTCTTTCTATTTGTACAAACTTTGAGCATGACTTGACATCTTTTCTCACTTTGCATTTCAACAGGACTTTAACAGATTTGCTTACTAAATATTTTACCTTTTTAATTTCATATACTCTCATAATAAGAAGAAAAAGAAAAATGATGGAAAACTTCTATTCATTCTTCCTATTCGTTGCTGTGGGGATACTTGCAATAAACTGCTGCTTGGCTACATGTAAGTTCAAATTATGAAACTACCTTTTCCTTTTATACGTTACTCTAAATAAAAGATTTAATGTACTAATGATACAGGGACCTTGTGGTCAATTTTTCTTTGTATTCGCTGGATCACAGCTCAAACTTTGAGAACTATTCATTTTTTCAAGAATTTCAATTTGCGGCAACATGGAAACGGAGTGCAAAATCGTTGACAATTTTGCCTTTTGATGAAAGATGGAAGAACTAAGAAATTTTCTTAACCTTGAAGACTTAGGCACAGCAATCATTGCTAACACTTTTTGAAAGATAAAAACCCTTATCTTTCGTTTCGTTACCAATGAGTGCCCTTACATTTAATACTTTATTTAGATCTTTATTTATTTATTTAGAAGTTCCAATTTTTAATACTCTATACTAATGGAAAACTAAGAATTTTTAAAAGGCAAAGACGTTTTTTGATAATTATACAAAATTTTATGGGGGAGAAGAGAAATAAGAGCCAACGCCTTGAAATTAAGGGCATTGAGTCATGATAAATAGACTGGGTATACCCTAAGTGCCAAAATCCGCTGAGTCATGATTTCCATGACTGCGATGCTATTGGCCGGCCTTGAACTGGTCACATGAACTCACCTTGTACTGATTAACAGAACAGTTTCCATCAAAAGCAAGTTGTCAACAACGGATGCCAATATCACATGAAACAGCAGCGATCAAGCCGAAACCAAATGACCCCCTATAGAGAAAGCCTATTTACCATGACTCAATGCCTTTAAAGGGAACATGAAGCATGACATAGAAGCAACAGGCCTAGGTCTAGGGAACCCCTTAATTACTTAACTTTGAGGAGCCTCTAGCAAAATTTTTAGAAGCCCATGAAATGCTGCTGATTTCAGTATAGTGTTCGAATCAGGTAGTAAGGGCTTCAGAAATCAGAATGGCTTGATTAAATTGACAATTTAAGAACAGTCAGAAACTACACTGGACGTCGGTTCACGTGTTTTGTCCACCCCCATTAGCTTTTCCTCTGGCCCTCTTTAGAGATAGCTTCAGCCAGGGCTGCCGAAAGGGGGACAGGGGGGACGTCCCCATGGGCCACGGAGTCTAGATGACCTCATAAAGTAATGAATTTCATTTTAAGAATTGAATTTATCAAACGTAACCTAAAAAGTATGCCTTTAAATAGGAAAAGGTTATAAAGGATTGTAAGAAGTGTATGTAAGAAATACTCTGAAATGCATTTCTGAGCTATTCTGAAGGTGGTCGAAATTTTAGTAAATGTGCAAATTTAAACCACTTTGCAGCTATTGAATTTTTTAATGTAAAAATGTTAGGGATCTTATTCATGTTATTCTGTTTATCGAGTGAAAAAGTCCAGAATCAGTATGCTGTATCTATAGCATTAAAAAAACCATGATAAATGCAATAAATAATATCGTCCTAGTTACTTCAATTTTATTCAAATTTTCAGCCTGTCAGCAGAATTTTGCAGCAAATTATGGCGTGGTGTCTTTAAAACCGAATCCTGTGAACAGTATTACACAATGCCGATATGTAATCAAAGCTCCATCCGGGCACCGCGTTCAGCTTGACGTCACAAACATTGGGTATATCTCTTCTAATTGCTATTATGGCTCGTTCCGTCTTTACGAGGGAGCAAATCCTGACATTGTGAATGACATTCCCGCTGCTACATATTGCAGCACAAAAATCGATCGTCCCACATATCTCTCTCAAGCCAATGCCATTACAATTCTGTTTACAAGAAGACATGGCTACGATTTTATGTCCGCTACATTTCATTACAGACGTGTGCAAGGTGATATCTTTTCATCATATGAATACATTGTTTTCCTCTGCTTTCTTAACTATAGTTCTATCTAGATTCCTCTGCTTGTTTATGCAATATGCAAAGGAGCTTGTTATTTAAAGGATGAACAAACGATGAAAAAGTGTCCAGTTTATTGATTACTTTGTTAAACATCTTGAATTCCAATATTCTACTACAACGTGAATTCTTGGACGCTTGTGTGTTGTTTTTGAAAGATAAAAAAACTGAATAGTGATGAAGGTATTCGATATATGAGGGGCTATGCATTTCTTTTGATCATGGTTTTTAAGATTGGTTTATCCCAGCCACGTTTATTATTTAACACTAAAGGACACTAGAAATACCGTAAAGGCATTATTAAACACCCTAGGAGCTATCTTAGGGACAGCTTGCCAGAGAGAGACCTTTTTAGAGAAGGCTCTTAGTTTGAAAATCAGCATTGATATCTAAGGTAAAAATTTCTTCACAACGTTTTACAAAGGCAGCCACTGATTTTGAATAACTAAATTTGTTCCGAAGTTAGAAATTTAATTTGCTATTAAGAAGCTCTGAGAGTGCCAAAAGCCAACAAAAGCAGAACAAAGCATGCTCCAAGTGACCTTAGGAGTTGCTGAGGTTGTTCAAAAGAGCATGAAAGCATAATAGGCCTAATGAATGAACACAATAACAGAGTGGCTGACTCACTGACGATGGAGCCAAAGCAAGTGTGGATTAATCGACAGCAAAGTTCATGACGAGTAATCTTCTCCTATCTCCATGGAGAAAGCAATTTCAAATGTTTTGATCTAACACAAACAGAAAATCGTGGCGTTCATCTCGACATGTTTGAACCATAGTCAAACAGCTGCCGTCGTAACAAACTGTGTTGCTATTCTTTGGTCTAGCCATCATACCACCGATGATAATAATCAAACTAAGATGGCGGAGAGTTTCTGGATCTGTTTAATTGACCTTTTTTGTATATATTGCATTTGGCTGCATTATTTACTCCAGATAGTTACCAATTGAGGAATAATTTTGTTGAAATAGTAGCAAGGCCGACACCAGCCATGATATATAGGGGGCAGACGTCATTATTTTTCTGAAGACAAATCTACTTCAATGGAAAATCTAATACAACGCACGTGAAACCATTTGTCACTTCCGATTTGTGAGGTTTAAGGCTTGTGGAAATGGTGCAACCGAATCTTCTATATTTTAGATGAAGATATGTTTCCTCGTGGTGTGGTTTCCTTCTTTCTGAAGAGAAAGCACTTTTCAGTAAAATTCAAAAGGTTGCAATTTGAAGAAAGTTAAGCAACGTTATCAACACAACATAACAGGAAGGAAAATCAAATACAGTTTCCATATTACCATAAAGCCAAAAAGTCACATTTTTTCAACCAAGTTTTTCTCTCTTTTTCATGGCGGCAAACTTGTCGATTATCTCGTCATAGTCGATTTCAGTGCTCCTGCAGAGACTCGGGTCATCATGTTTGATAGACAATCATTGTCAATGCATGACCGAAGGCAGTTTTTTACTATATTCTGCTAAACAAGCGCTCTGCACAAGCTGAAGATTCCAGTAAATATACTCAGATTTGAAGCAGCGTATAGAGGTTAGGAAGCGTGCAAAACCGATTGGTCACCATAGATTTCAGGATGCTCTTCGGTTACTTGAGATCATCTTCTTCTATGTTTGTAACATTTCACAATGAATGTTTTATCGAAAGGTTGGAAATTTTGAAATTCTTCGATAGTGTCTGCAACATGGACATCTTTCTTGCAACCATTTGATTGCGCTTCCACATGAGACCCTGCCTCTTCAGCTAGGATTCTTTTGAGGAAAAGATTTTCAAATTTTAACAAATTTCCATCGCAATGTTGAAAACGTCTTCTTTCGTTTAATCCTTTAAGAGCTTTCCTGGTTCACATCGAATACCACATCGTTCCTTGTTGCGAATTCTCTTGAGGCCTTAATTTCCTGTGAAACCCACTGTCGGAACGCATTAACAGTAACGAAGCTTGGGTTGTCTTTATACAACACACTGTCTTAATCATGTCAATATCAATTCTTTGCAGTTCTTTTGATAAGATGTTTCTCCTTCTTAAGATCTCTTCCCGCACAAAAAGCAAGAAAATGAAATTTCATGACTGTTGTACTTTTATGTGACCTGAGGCTGTTGCTGCTCCATCAAGATTGTTCCTTTCAATCCATTCCATCGTTGCGAGCAGTTCTCCAAAGACATATTTTACGGCTCGAACTGCGTTATATCTAGCACTCCATCTAGTGCCAGATAGCTTTTTGAAAGTTGTTATTCTTATTCCTTATTCCTTATTCCTTATTTCTTATTTCTTATTTCTTATTTCTTATTTCTTATTTCTTATTTCTTATTCTTATTTCTTATTTCTTATTTCTTATTTCTTATTTCTTATTTCTTATTTCTTATTTCTTATTTCTTATTTCTTATTTCTTATTTCTTATTTCTTATTTCTTATTTCTATTTTCTTATTTCTTATTTCTTATTTCTTATTTCTTATTTCTTATTTCTTATTTCTTATTTCTTATTTCTTATTTCTTATTTCTTATTTCTTATTTCTTATTTCTTATTTCTTATTTCTTATTTCTTATTTCTTATTCCTTATTTCTTATTTCTTATTTCTTATTTCTTATTTCTTATTTCTTATTTCCTATTTCTTATTTCCTATTTCTTATTTCTTATTTCCTATTTCCTATTTCTTATTTCTTATTTCTTATTTCTTATTTCTTATTTCTTATTTCTTATTTCTTATTTCTTATTTCTTATTTCTTATTTCTTATTTCTTACTATTTCTCTGCTTTTTTTTCTATAACATTTTCATTTAGTTTTCTTTATATATGTTCTATTTATGATTCCTCTGCTTTGTTTTCATATGCATATATGCAAGGAGATTTTCCTGTTATTATTAACAGTTGTAACCTAGATCGTATCACATAAACATAGTCTGAAGAACTATATGAATGGTGAGTCCAGTGTGCTTTAATAGAAATACTTTTGTAAAGGTTTTACTCCTTCTTTGCTATATATAAGATTATCTGTATATATGTCGACACAATAAATACCTTTGCTACATACGTGCAATCTTGGAGTTCGAGCCATGTATAAGTGTGTATTGAGGTGTCTCTTAAGAATCGAATAAAACTAAAATGGAAATTGAGTAGAACAAGGATGAACAGAGGTTATCTCCTGGATTACTCTCTCATTTTATGCGCATTAATGTTACTGGTTTCTTCAGTTTTTGTTCCAACGCAGTTAGTTTTATAGAGTATCTCGTAGTGGATTTAGCATAAATTTATCCTTCCAAGCTCCCATATCGGTTTTATTATTGTAACACGCTACAATAAGGACACATACTAGGTTAAAGTCAAATAAGTACTCTCGTTTAAAGGTTGCTATAAATAATATATTACTTATCAACATACCGTTTTGATGGCAGCATTCTCTAAGTTTATGGATCATGGCTTTCGCTCCTTATGATCGCATCGGAGATACCTCAGTTTTTGTTATGATGTTAGAAGTTGCTAACTTTTTAGTATGCTTAAACATAGTTTCACCTTCAGCAGATGATGGATATTTACATCAAAAGGTAAATAAGAGTTTATTTCCATCTACATAATCGTCTTTTAAGAGCTTCCAAAATTCCGTGCAGCGCACCCATATTGTGATTTAATTAACTTGGACTATACTTGCTCACAGAATGTCAGTCGTGTTTCTCGAAGTCCTATCAGCAAGCATTGGTGGAGCGCTTACTAGGAATGTAATATGCTTTTAAAGAAGCCTCAGCGTATTTCTGTGCACGGTGTCACCCATAGAAATCATATGGCGGAATCCGAAGCACGAAACAAACTATGCAGTCGGAGCAACTGTCTTTCCTCGAAAGTGTTATAGAACAGTCCCTAGGAGTTTGTCTCGAGAGGCAGATTCAGGTTTTTTGTCAGACAAGACACAAACAAAGCATATTTGAAAGGCGCTCAGATAAAACATGGAGACATCCTATTTGTCCCTCAATTCCAATAGCACACAACAAAAATATATATTTTGCAGATGTTGTGTGAACTGAACTCACTGACCGTGATGTGGGACACCATCACAGCTTTAGAGGGTGATGCTGAGTCTAGTGAATTCGTACAAGAAAACATATTTGTTACGCTCACAATTGTGTACCGAAACGGGTTAATAGTTTCTTTCTACGAATGTTTAGTTTCTGTACATAAACGCGGGTGTGGTGAATATATATAGTCTCCAATATATTTACAAATGGTTTATGTTTGAGTTCTAATACTCTATCGTTCAACTCAGAAAGTGATCCCATTCTTGTAGGACGTTTAATCCCATCACAATGTGTTTCTCCATATGAGCTTCCACTAAGTTCTAGAAACAACTTTGCCAATTTCAGATCAAAACGATAACCCTTGTCTCCGAATACTGCGTATTTTCCTTTGGCTAATTCCTAGACCAATACACTACCACCCGGACTAATTTGTTAATAAAACTTTACTCCACTAAAAAAACTATTATACGAAGATAGAGGAATGGGAGAGAGTTTTACTGTGAATCTGTTTATAAAAATATATGCATCCTGCTTTTAATAGAAACTCAAAATTTGACATTAAGAGTCAATTAAATGTGGGGCTGCCATTTAAGTTTGTTCTCAGCCAATCCATTCTTATTCCGCATATTAAAAACGAAAACTTTATTTGTGTAAGCGGT